CCGTTCCGTATGCCGGCGGCGCTGTTCCCGGAAGACCTAGAGGAGCTATGCGAGCTGGTGGACGTGAACGTGCGTCAGGTGTGCGCAGATCCAAGTGAGGAGGACATCCGATTGCTGTCGCAGCTTCTGTTGTAGGTGGAGGCGAGAAAGTGAATAAGTGAAAGTATTTAGTTAGAAGGAGCACGGTGTGGGATGAATGAAGATTTATGGATCGTTTGAATTGAGCGCAATACATGTAGCGATAACGATTTCAGTGGATAAAGACGACTTGTAGTAAACATGAAGTTGAGAACTACAACTTGAGATGGCGGTAGCTTCTCTTCATTATTTAAGTGTAGGCATTGAAAAGCTGCCCATCGGGATGAACACAGCTTGGTGGAATTGACAGGACGACTCAAATCTCTACAACAAGTTATTAGTATCTGACGAATATCGCACAAAAATCTTATGCTATCTCATAAAAGTTATGAATTTGAACCAGCAAGATTTTTCTCTCCTTTTACGATTGGATCCATCAGCAGACGGTTGGTTAGTTCGTGGCACGAGCCTACATTCAAAACTAACTTAATCCTGGGAGGACAGCTAGATGAGCAGTATGGACGGCCTCACACAGATTAATTTGCTCCAAAAAAAAGTTGCCTGTAGCACAAGCAACTGTCAGATCACACGACAACATGCAGCATTTATCGAACTTAGTGGCACGGTTGTCGCGAAAGCTGCAAATGCGTTCCTAACACATTATCAAACAAATATCATGTGCGTCTAAAGGAGACTCGTGCATCACGCTTCATGATGCGTTAAATATTGCCATCTTGACTCCAAAGTCCAGCTGCAATTTCATTATTATTGCCTGCTCAATTTGAACACCGTTTGGACGATTCAGTGCGGAAACCAATTCAAAGAGCACTATCAGGGGAAAAAAAATACTACCCTACTCTGCAACTGCCGCGCCAATCCTCAAATTTCTTTTTGTATAAACTAACGCTAAGCTTATTGCGAGATTAAAGGCGTTGTCTAATCTAGTAGCAGTGTAAGGCTTCTATTCTTCGGCGGATAGACCCGCCGAAGAAGCAGCACTCACGTTTTCATTTTATCACGGTAAGATTTTAGCACTTAATTCAGCCTACGTGGAGCCGTAGTTGGCCGTCAAAGACTTTTTTTTAGTATTGTGTGAGCCTGAAATACAAAAAGTTAAGAGTAGTGTAGCGGACCTCTTATCTTGCCCGGTCCGTTGGGCAAGCCGTATAGCTCTCGCTGCGTCCGTCCTTCGTTGAAGTAAACACGTCCACACTG